GAATGACTTCGAACCCGTTTTCGGTGGTAATGTGATGGCGTTTGTTGATCTGTTGTGCCCTGATCTGGTATCGATGCTGCTGCTGCTGCTGCTGCTGCTGCTGCTGGTTGTGCCTCGGACTGCGCAGTGCAACGACACACGTTTATCCTTGCTGACTGAGTGCATCTTGGCCCGCCACCCAAATTGTCTGTCCTTAACCCTAACCGCTATCATTCTATTGTTGCTGTTTTGCCTTCGACCGCCCTACTGGTGTGGTATGGTGTTCTTTTTCGGGTGTTCAGGTACGTGGTGACCCGCTGGTATCGTGCGCCGGAGATCATGCTCTCGGTGCAGAACTACAACGAGGCTATAGACGTGTGGAGCGTGGGGTGCATCTTCGGGGAGATGCTGGGTCTGAAGCCGCTCTTTGCCGGGAATGACTACATCCACCAGCTTAAGCTCATCACGTCGCTCATCGGGAAGCCCACCGAATCCGACATTTGGTTTGTCACAAACCCAAGGTACTAAATACCTACACGCCGCCTTTGTTCGACTGGCTTACTGGTGTTTTGTGTCATGCTGTCCGTGGTCGGTGATGCTGAGACAGAGGCCATGGCGTGGTTGTATGCATAGACCCGATGAGCTGGTGCCTCTGGTACTTGTCTGGAGTAGTTGTACATAATTGACGCGACTTCTTCGCACCCACAATGGGCCCATTGGGGTACTGAATGACACGTATCTACTTCCCGACATCCCTCAGCTCTGGTTATGGCGAGGCACACCTTGCCATAACATTGCCGGAGGATTGTTTGCAGTATACATGTACTATTACAGCATCGCACAATCATTGCGACGGTGTAGCGTAGAGTGCTCGCACGTCGTCTATAGCATCGACAGCTGGTTCACTGTTCACTCAACTCGTCTCTCGGGCGAAGTCGCTGACGAAAAGTACCACTTGTTGTAGAGCCCGTATTTAGAGGCCCTTGTGGAGGATAGGGTGAGAGTGATAGGTCACTTGTTCGCCTAGGGTCGGGGGAAAAGCTGGCCCCATCCCATCCCATCCCATGTCGCCTGGTGGTGTTGTACAATGTGGTCCATTTTCTTGTGGAAGGCGTGTCGTATCGTAGAAAAGTATTCATGGTATACCGGGTTGTCGTTTCTGGTTTTGGTGGCGTTTAACATTGCCACCCTCTCTTTCTCCCCCTCCCCCCGTAGGGCGAGGCGGTTCATGCTTGGACTACCGGAGACGTCGGCCGTGAATCTAGGAGTTACGTTCCCCGACGCAAACGCGGACGCGGTGGACCTGTTGTCGAAGATGCTCATCCTCGACCCGAATCGGCGAATATCGGTCGAGCAGGCGTTGGAACACCCGTACCTCTCGTCGTTGCACGATGCCGCCCTAGAACCGCTGGCGGAGAGCCACGTGGACTGGCAGTGCATCGAAGCGGTGAGTTGGCACAGCAGGTATCATAGTTGTCATACGTCCCGTCTGTCTGTCAGGCAGTGGACGTCGTCGTTCTCAGGGTCGTCTTGTTGGAAAGGGTTTTGTTTTTCTCCTGGAAGCAGTCTTACAATTTCGGGAGTTGGAATCTTGAGGGGGCCACATGTAATGACCTGGGTCGGGAAGGGACGTACCACGTGGACCGTACCATGGTATGTCGTTTGCTGGTGTGGAATCAACCGCACGATGGAACGGGAAATGGGTCACGAATGCTGCCTGCGTGCCTTTGAGCTTCCTTCTGGTTCTGGCCCAGGCTCGGCGCCAGCCATCATCTCCACTGCTGTCTGTCTGTCTGTCTGTCTGTCTGTCTCTCGCAACTCTACTTGTCTTTTTACCGATGTGAGGCCTCCTTTGCATCTCTCACGGACCGGATCAGGTGGAGTTGACAAAGCACAACCTGCGGCTGTTGATCTTCGAGGACGTGCTGCACTACCACCCGGAGTGCAGGGGTCTCATCCAGCCCACCCTTGACGCCGCCACAGCCGCTACGACCCCCGTCTCCGATGCAGGCGGCGGGCAAACCTTACCCTCCCGCCAGCACGGCACCCCGGGAGGCGGCGACATCAGCAGCAGCAACGGCAGCAGCCGTGGCCGCGCTGCTTCGCCATCGGAAGCATCCGCCTCTCTCCCTCCGCCTCCAGCGGGCGCGGCCTCTGGCTCTGCCGCTCCCGCAGCAGCCGGCGCTACCGTGCCCCCTGCCACAACGGGAGCAACATCGACCACAACGTCGGCGGCACCGAACGCGATGGCGAAAAACGCCGTCGCCGGCGGAAGTCAGGACGATAATTCTTCCCAAGGAGAAGCTGCATGGCGACCCAAGGTTTCTCACATCGAAAACGGGGCAGCGGCAGGGTGGGCGGGGGGCGGCGGCGGCGGCGGCGGCGGCGGCGATCAAGACGCGCCAGAGGCGACGGTGATGCTCTCGGCGGTGTCTGTGTCTGTGGGGGATAGCGGCAGCGATGTGGCTGCACCTACTGCGGGGCTTGTGACAGCCCTTTGAGGAAGCGCCGGGGGGGGGGGGGGGGGGG